GTTCTGTTTCGAGAGGCCCTTTCTAGATCCTCTCTCTTCAGGTGCATGATCAGATTACACTAAAATATCCCATTTATATACCGATCGTTCATAGTCATAAAGCCTAACCGTTTTTAATTAAAAATTTGTTTGCATGACGGCATGCACTAGCAAGTTCGTTTCTTTTGTTTAGAGTACAAGTTTCCGGTTTACAAATGATGAAATATTTTTCCATTATACATAAATTACACTTTTTAAATTAATTTTAAATCACAAATATTGGGAAAAAGTGTAATTTACGTATAATGGAAAAATATTTCATCATTTGTAAACCGGAAACTTGTACTCTAAACAAAAGAAACGAACTGGCTAGTGCATGCCGTCATGCAAACAAATTTTTAATTAAAAACGGTTAGGCTTTATGACTATGAACGATCGGTATATAAATGGGATATTAGAGAGGTTAAGATACCCCGGTTCCGGTTTACGGGTACGAGTATCGCCATTTTGTTTACCAATTTTTGCTGATGTCAGCAATTTTACCCGTAATTTCTACCCGTTTCCCCGCGGTAAACCGTGGTCTACACGTAAACGACAAACGGGTACGGGTGTTTACTGTTTACTATTTTTGGGCCGTTTAAATAGTACAAATTTTTAACATCTTACCCAAATAAATAATGCACATATGCTGGTCAAAATATTCAACAATTTATGGCGAACCTCAACAGCGAAAGTTGGCATTTTCTGATTGGTTTTCTCACGCCGGAGTATCTTGGATTTCTTAAGTTACAAATTATTCCCCGATTTACGGGTACGGGTACGTGTATATCACCCGTACCCGTAAACCGGAATCGGGGTATCTTAACCTCTCTATTTTAGTGTAATCTGATCATACACCTGAAGAGAGAGGATCTAGAAAGGGCCTCTCGAAACAGAACTGCAGTGCTTTTCAATTTTTAATGAACATTCTTAGGTTTTAATCTTTAATTTTTAATTTTATATATATATATATATATATATATATATATATATATATATATATATATATATATATATATATATATATATATATATATATATATATATATTGAGTTAGAAACTCAATGAACTCAAACCGTACAATGCTTCGTTATCTTACTCTATCTCGCCCCAGATAACTTTATTCTTCAAAGAAAAGTATTGAGCAATGATGGCATGCAAGCTATCTGACTTTTGTTAACATCAATATTCAGTCGCAATGCTCCCTAATACCACAGAATACTACACAGAAGTCCATCTCCATTGTTTTTTGCGTAAGCGTTATTCGTCATGATTCGTCACTCAGCAAGTACCGTAAACAGAAGCAGTCCCCTCCTGGAAATACTCAAAATGGCGCACGTCCAGGGGGGGACTGCTTCTGTTTACGGTACTTGCTGAGTGACGAATCATGACGAATAACGCTTACGCAAAAAACAATGGAGATGGACTTCTGTGTAGTATTCTGTG